AACTAATTTTGAGTGCCTCTGGTTTTGGGAGCCTAACTTGAAACATCAAGGCCCAAATGGTCAAAATGGCCAGTAATGTTGAATGCCCAGCCTTGGACAAATTGGGCTTGATTTTGAGAGGCGCTGAGCACCCACAGCTCACAGCAGAGTTGTGACTCCTCAGCACCAATGAAAATTACTTCCAAGGTGTCTCCATCCGGACACCCAAAATCAGTGGCCACTTTTGAAAACTAAGGCCTTATCCCCCTGTTCCTCCATGTCTCCCTTTACAAAATAGGGTAATAATATTTAAGTACCTCACAGGGTTGAGAAACTTAATAAATATTTCTAAACCACTGTGAATGCTTTGGGTAGAAGGTGCTACAGCAGAGAAGTCCATAGTCTCATTAGCCCAGGCCTTTCGAGATATTTAGACACCTAACTCCCATTGATTTCAGTGGGATTTAGGACATAAATAGCGTTGAGGATTTTGATCTTTATTCCTGTTCTAAATTAAATGCTGGGATAGACCTTAAACACACCCTGTGGACACCGAAGGAACATTTGGAAGCCACTTTTATTCTGCGTTAGTAGTAATGAATTGGCCATCTACAGTAGAAAAACAGTGGGGCTGGGGGACTAGATTATAACAGGGAGTGTTTTGATAAGACCAACCTGTTACCACACATTTCCTTGACTAAAGTAATTTTTAGAATATAGGCCAAAGCAAAACAAACAAACAAAACCCAAACCCTGTGAATTGTTCCCAGACAAAATTTAACTTGCACGCCAGTTAGAGACCCTGCAGTACCCTGGCTATTTCTGTCCAGCTCCTACTCGGTGAGCAGAGAGAGACCCATATGCTTGGGTTACAGATGTGTTACAGGCCAGAAATAGCTGCAGCATCTATGTCTCACACATACCGCAGGGCTGTTTATTCCACTTAGACATAAGTTCAGGTTTCTGGAGGGTTGAGCAATTGGGTTATATTTAGAACTGGGGAGATGGATGCTATCGTTCCAGACAGTTAGGGATTCGACTCACATTTAGCACATAAACAGAGAGGGAAAAGTTTAGTGAAAGCCGCTGCTGAGAAAGATAACATGGAACTGCGACAGGGTATTATTGTTGCATTTCCTAACCTGCTGCTCTCCTGTGCCAACCACTGGGGCAGGAGGAGGGGACCAATGTGAGGCAGATGGAGCTTTCTGACTGTTCTTGTGCCTGGCTGCATGTTCCCTTTAGGACATATGTAGAGGCTAGTCGGGAAGCAGGGGAAAGGTGTTGTGTGCCTAGTTCATGAATCCCTGGCTTGGTAATGCTGGGAAGGGGGGCGGGGGGCTGCAGGGATGGTATGCCTCTTTAAGGTGAACAGAGGAAAGTGATTTGCATGGTGCTTACATCTAATCAAATCTGGGTTTAAAAGAGTTCAGCCATTTAAGTGATCCTGCTGCAAAACTATAATCAGAGAAATAACGGTAGTGTGCGCTTCTTCCACTGTTGTGTCCATGTGGATAGAGAATCCAGTCGGGCTCTGCTACTCACCTGCTTCTTTCAGTCCAAACCCAAAGGGTGAAATTCTGGCCCCCATGGAACTAAATGGGAGTTTTGCCATTGACTTCAGGGTTAGTCCCAAGGTGATGAGCATTTTCATTCACCTCTAAGTAGTAAGAGTTTGACCCCAGCTGATATTCTCGTTTCATTTTGTCACTGTCAAAATGTTTCGATAAGGTAAAAACATTTAGTTTCCACTTTATCGTTTCAATTCATTTGACTTTTAGTACAAATTAATTTTAATATTATATCATTTTATAGACAGTATATTCTATTTAATCATATATATATAATAGTTACATTATATTATAATGTTTCAACTTTGTCTAAATAAAACAGTTTTACTTCTCAAAACAAAACGTTCTGATGGTTCCAAATTAAATTTTTCAGAATTTCTGTTCCAGGGGAACTGTTGACATTTCAGCTTTTCATTCTGATTCAGTGAAAACACATTTCAAAATGTTGGAATTTCCCATGGAACAAAAGTCCGTTTTCTAACCAACTTTACTCAGCTCCTTACAGCATCAGTACCTTTGCTCCTATGGTACAGGGAAGGTATGCCTCTCTGCTGCATAAACAAAGGACGGGGCATCCAGATTTCACTTGGAGTTAACTTGAATTTCCTGCCTCTTGTATTTTGTGTCTCAAGTTCAGCATGACTAACACCCAGTTTGGAGTCTGTAGCTATTATGACATGCAGCTGGTGTAAAATGGTGTAATCCAGTGGAATAAATGTAGCTATGCTGATTCACTGCAGCTGAGGCTCTGTCCCTATCATTTCAGCTTCCTTGTAGTAAAGGAGTTTTGTAGAGTGTTTCTGGTTTTAAGGGTGCTGTTCCGTAGTAGTGGCTAAATTCCAAGTGCCATTATGCAAGACATTTCTAAGGTGAGAGTTCTTAATAATAACGATATTCAAAAAAATCCTTCCTGGATATTTTGTATCTCTGGGTCTGTCTTTTATGCTGTACATTCTTTGGGGCAGGGACTGCCTTCACTTTTGACTTTTATACAGGGACAAGCACATTATCTGCACTAACAAATCATCATCACTGCCCTCCCCAGCAAAGGCACTGTTTAGATTCCTGGTTGACAGTCTCAGCAGGAGGCCAAGGAATTAATTAGTGTCTCACCTCTATAGATGATCACCCCAGGTCAGAGTGGAGGAAGCTTGCACTCTTATGTTCTGTTTAGGGTCTTATGCCCATCACTGTGGTATCTGAGTACCTTCTGTGGACAGCATGGTCACCACATGTGCTATTCCTCCCCTGGGTGTAGACAGGACTGCAGTACCCAAGGCTGTGAATCTGACCCCCTTCACCAATACTAAATTCAATAACTTAAATAAATACATGCAATTGATTTGAAACTGGATGCTAGAGGTTAACCCTGTGAAGGGCCTGGCCTAGATCAACACTGCTGCAGTGCATGACAGGATGGGGGCATTGCATGAAGAGGCCCCTACGGAGGCTGGAGCCTGGACCTATGCGTCCACTGCAAACCCACCTAGATGACTGGCAGGCCACAGCAGCATGATATTTGCACATTTTCCTGACCCTCATTTTAAACTCAGACTCCTGGAGGAAGAGCTGGTCTCACTGGACTCCCAAGGGCCAGATTTTCCCACAGGTGGGCCCAGGTTTTCCGAAGAGCTCAGCATCCAACTGGATCTTTAGAAAATCGAACCCCAGAAGTCTTGCTGATCCCTTGTGTGTGTAGTATGAGTATTGGTTGCTTGCACGCTATCTCTCTCTCTCACAGTGATTATGCTCCTTTGGACTGTCTCAGTAGCTAAATACATAAATAACTAGATACATACATGACTGCACCCCATATCTTGGTATATTAACCTGTATTTCATCCCTGGTGCAACTCCATTGACTTCATTGAGTTTTGATTTATTTTTCATATATATATGTTGCATTTTATTTAAATGAGAGGGAGAATGTGCTTTACCAGCTGTGGGAACTGACCTGGTTTCTGTCATTCTCTAATCTCCCATGTATCAGGATATCTCTAACAAAGTGTTTCATTGACATATCTGTTTTGGTGTCTACACTGCAAAGTTATTCCAGAACAAGTTAGGGTGTGAATTTAGCACCATAACTATTCCAGAATAAGAGTGTTCACACAGTGAGTTATTCCGGAATAGCTATAGTGGAACAGTTATTTGAGAAAAGCTATGGCTGTCAATTTCCCCTTCGTCCCAGAGTCCAAAACTCTCAGGACCTAACCTGTGTCCTGATAGGATATTTCTGAGTTACATTAAACTTTACAGAGATAAAGTGAAGCTGGGATTTTCAAAGGACCCTGAAGGACTTTGAGCAACAGCGTCTACTAAATTACAGCAAGGTGGGGCCCCTCACTCCGTTGTCTTTGAAAAATCCCAGTTTAAAAGACTGGGTTAATGTTGCTCAGGTGTCCAACTGCAAAAGGGAAGAGCAACCTTTTTAAAATACGGTTAATTCAGAGCAGGACAGTTTTGCTGTTTCTGGTCAGATTATTACTGAGATTATTTTAAAAAGAATTTTTTTTTTACAGACTAATCCCTGGCTACGTGAAGCTTGAATGGCCTGATTAGATTTAAAAGGGCACCGATAGAAAATGAAGTAAGGATATTTTATTTTATTTTTAAATCAGTAATCCCTCCACTCAAAATTTTGCTAACCTAATCTCTGTACCAGTATAAGGAGCTGACCAAGAGCATTACCAGGTTAACAGCAAAGATTCACCTGTAGTTGGTTAATATACTCTTCCTCCCGCTTAGGTATTTTGTTTGGATTATTTTCCTTGTTGTCTGATCAAATTGCCCGTGTCACTGTCAACTAGTATTAATACCACCGAGCTGTGTTTCAGCCTGGTCTAATAACACAAAACAATGTGATTTACAAAATAAACATACTTTCCTGGCAAACTATTTGGAAGTCAAAACTCCAGGTTTAATTTAAATGCCAATAAATTGTCTTGACTCACTTTTTAAACCCCACCACCACCGCCACAGGGACACATTCCCTGTGCTATTCTTTGCCATCTGCAATCAAATTAAACATTTCAAATGACCCACACACGAAAATCTCTCTGTAAATATTGAACTTGAAAGGGCAAATATTGACTTTCCGGATCCATTCAGACGAAGTTCTCTCTGCTCCTTACCTTGGTGGTAAGACGGGTTAGTCCAATGGGGACTGTGGCCAGGGCAGAGGCTCTGTGCTCTGCACATCAAGAGACATTGAGAGACCCTCAAACTTTCCAAATGAAACATTCTACGCACCCCTCCCCCAACCCTGCTAGGCCAGCTGAGTGTTCTTATCACGTTAGCATTTACAGCAGCCTTCTGGTGGTGACAGCTGTCCTCAGCACAGGCCTGAGAGACCTGGCTAGAGTCAGGAAGAGGGGGAGCTCAGTTCCAGCCAAGTTCAGCGTGACAGTGGCTGCCAGAATCTAGAGGTAGCAAATAAACTGGATGTGCTTCCAAACAAGTTCAGATTGTTCTCTAATCTGCCACCTGCCCCGAGTGAAAGTGAGTGGCGGTGACTCCAAAAGGGACTGATCAAGGACAGAGACCATTTGAGGACAGGGGAAGGAGGAGGACGGCTCCTCAGTGGTGCGCCTCTGATTTGCACCATCTGAGAATCTGGCCCAATAATCTCACAGACAGACTAGCAGGAACAGAATAAACAAATCACAGTTTGCATCAGGGTGTGGACATGAACTGTGACTTAGACTATTAACATTATTATGAATTATTATTGATAATAACAATATCTAGGAGCCCCAGTCATGAGCCAGGACGCCATTGTATGCAGTGCAAACACAGACCAAAATGACAGCCCCTGAGCCAGCGAGGTTACAAATCGAATTAAAACTGGCTTTTGGCAACTCTTTAAAAACCTGCTTTTCACATGTGTTTGCACCAGCCACATTTGGATGCTTGGATGCTTAAAACAAATTGGAAAAGAGGCTGAAATTTGTTTCCAGGTTCAAACAGAGATTATCCAGACCATTTTTATGCTATTTTCTTAGCTCTAGGGATGAGTGTTTTATCTGTTAGAGTTTATAATGTCCCTTTGAAGCCCAGGCAGTTCTGGGTTGAAATTCAGCCCCGTGATTCAGGCCTGAGGCCTATGTATCACTAAAATCCTACTTAAGCCCTGTTTTGAGACTTCAAGTGGGACACATGCAAAGGCATTGTCCTTTGCACAGGAGTGAATCTGACCCCCTTAAATGAATGAGGTAAATGAGCAACAGAATTAGTGCCCAGGGATTCTTCAGAACCGTTTTCCAATGATCAGACCTTCTCTTAATCATTGGATGGTATCAACTATTGTCAAGAATATTCATACTAAGGGGTATTTATATTATTCCTCCAATGTCATTATTTTTGTCACCATATTCCACCATAACTCCCAACTACAGCAGCGGGAACTGTATCTACCTATTGGTATGTTACATTGCCCAGTGTTTCGACTTCTGAGCAAAGATTTACCTCAATATATTCCTCTCATTGGATTATGACTATGTTTCTGGCATTCTAAATCTGGTGACAATCTAAGACAATGTAGTGGTGGATTTAGTTGTGGTAATGTATATGAACCAGAGCAAAGCAGCAGTGATAGGTGCTACGGCAGTGGCATGACAATGCTAGGCCAGCAGTGAATTTTGAGGTGAAAGACCGGGATGGTTGAAAGGCAGAAAGTATCAGCCTTCCCTTTCTGAATGCATTTCTTTTTGGTCATGCTTTGTGTAACTTGGACCATCACTTGGTTGTTAAATCCAGTGTGAGGTCATTTATAACCATCTTATTTCACGTTATTGTTTGCAATATAAAGGAATCTTGAAAACACAGTTTTTGACAGATTGTGTCCTTTTTTCTATTTTCCATTTTTCCAACTACTTTCTTCCCTGTGTTTTAGTGGAGCTAAAAGTAACGTGGTTGTTTTAACAATTTCATTGTACTCATCCCAGCACTATGCAGTTCAGCTACTAGTATTTGTTAAATTGCTGTGCAGTAGCTAATAGAGAAAGAGTAAAAGTCCCATAGGAACAGTAGCTTTTTTATCTACTTTGTAGATGCGTGAATTAAATAAAAAGGTAACGTTTAGAATTGTGAGGGCTTTCTTGGGCAATTAGAATAATTTCAAGACTGGTGGGATCTGCCTTTTAATAAGATACCTGAAAATGCTGCATAGGCCAGTGCAGAGCTCAGCAAAGAATCTACACTCTTCTGCAAAGTCTAAACAGTGGCAAAGGGGCCTGGAATTCTCTTGGAAATGACCTTAGCATCATTATGAGCTTGAGAACTGTAAGAAATCTTGAATACAGCCTGGGTGGATGCTGTTAAAAGCATTAAGAAAATCTACATTGTTAGCTGAAAATGGAGTGCTGTGTACAGCGCACATGCAATGCCATAAGTAACTTGAGACATTGTAGAATAGGGTCTTCTCTTTCAATACGTATAATGAACATTGATATGTACAATACTAGCAAATGAATACCTATACATTATGGAGTCGGGTGTGCCTGGCTCCTAGAGTTGCCTATTTTGGTTGGACGTATTCCTGGAGGTTTCATCACAAGACATAAGCTTTAATTACAGATTAATCCAGGGTTCGGCAACCTTTCAGAAGTGGTGTGCCGAGTCTTCATTTATTCACTCTTATTTAAGGTTTTGCGTGCCAGTAATACATTTTAATGTTTTTAGAAGGTCTCTTTCTATAAATCTATAACAGATAACTAAATTATTGTTGTATGTAAAGTAAAAAAAGGTTTTTAAAATGTTTAAGAAGCTTCATTTTACAATTAAATTAAAATGCAGAGCCCCCCGGACCGGTGGCCAGGACCCGGGCAGTGTGAGTGCCACTGAAAACCAGCTCGCGTGCCGTGCCATAGGTTGCCTACCCCTGGATTAATCTTTAATTCCTGGAGGTTCCATGACAATTCTGGAGGGTTGGCAACCCTACTAACTCCCATTGAGGATCTGGGTCTCAGTGGTTGCAACTCAATTGTTAAGATTGAGTTCCATTTTGTACTTAAAGCAGGGATCAACTTGTTTTGTATAAAAACCACAATGTATTCTCCCCAGTCTTACAGTATGTACTTTATGAGTGCGGAATTATTTCTGTGAGAATTTACAAGTCAGTAATGTTATTAGTTTAAGAGTTAAAATTAATTAAAATATGTTTTGTTAAGAAATGTTACATCTGTGTCAGACTTTTCTTTGTCCTGAATGATCTTAACAATGGAATAAAGCAGACTCTTCAAACTTGTCATATAGTTAAGATTATCCGAAATCTTGTGCATAGGCTGTATTTGAAGAAATTAAGTGTGTAATTAAGATACTTTATTAATGATTATTAACACCATGAGGGAAATATGAAAAAAATGAATTTGCTTTTAAAATCCCTTAATTGTAAATTGTACTGTTCATGGGGTCATTATTAGGCTGAGTTAAATTTGTTAACTGTGTATTATGCCTTAACTGTGTATTTCTGACCTTAACATGTTTAGAGGTTTTTTAAGTGTAACCTTAACTCTGAATTTCATGGGTTTTAAAATTTTGATTTTGCGATAATTCCAACCTATTTTTACCCTTTAGCTATTGATACATAATCTTAACCCTGGCTAGTTCTTTGCATAGGTTTTTGTCTGGGAATATAATTGCTGGACCAGAGCAGTAATATCTGTAATCCTAGAACAACCTGCTGCCCAATATGTGTAATTCTGGGTCTGAGCATCGATACATACAATGACAGGATTGGGCTGAATAGTTCTAATTCTGTGATTGTTCCCTGGCTACCTATCATTCTGTAACTGGCACCCAATGCTATTGATATATCTATGTAATTAGGTTTAGAGGGATTAGATTTTTATCAGTAAATGTTGGTAAATGTCAATTTCACCATACACACACAAATCGATGAAAAACTATTTCTGTTGATAAAATTCCAATGTACAGGTAGGCCAAGTAAGAAAAAATGCCGTTTGAGAGCTTATTAGCGTTTGAGTTCAGGATCTTTACTTTGTGTATTTTGACACACGATGTTAACACTTTGTGTTTTAACAGTTATAAAGTTTCAACTTGTTGAATCTCAGCACCGACTGTCAGGAAATAATTACTATCTGGTATTCCTTTCCCCTCCCCCACCCCCAAATTTCCCACAAATGTGAAAATTTAAATAGATTAAAATCTAATTAAAATGCTTAAAAATGAGTATTGACGCTCTCTGTCAAAATGATGAAAACAATTGAAGTCTGCCAAGCCTGTGTGTAGTGATCCCTGTGCCTGCCGAGCCATGGAGTCATTATGAGACATTACACAACCCCCCCGTCTCCACCTCTCCCCAGACTGTGTGTGTGTGGGGGGGAACCGCACTATCAGGAATAACTCGCAGGGGGTCCCTGGGTGCCACCGTGTAGCGGTGCCATGGCAACTCAGTCTCTGACATGGCACGGGGGCAGCAGTGCAGATATGGGCCTCCTGGTGCCCCAGTTGATACGGGTATGAGGGATGGCACCTGTCTTTATAGTCCCCAGTGAACTCAGTTGGGTTTGAGAGGGAACCACTGAAAAACCAGTAAAAGGGGGTAGCTGGCTCTCAGTGGCCCATGGTGGTAGACAAGCCTCTTGCCAGCAACCAAGATGGCGGTTGCCCCTAAGCACAGACGCTTCTTGCCAATATCCAAGATGGCAGCGGCTCCTTTCACTACAGAAGCTTATTGCCAGTATCCAAAATGGCGGCTGACCCCTCTCGGCGCAGTAGCTTCCTTGCCAGCACCCAGGATGGCGACTGGCTGTTGACCAGACGTCTGGTTTCCGTTTCCTGCCAGGAGCGAAGATGGCGGCGGGGGACGGGGAAGCTCAGTGTTGTCGGTGGGCGGTGAAGCCGTTTCCGCCACGGAGGCCTCTCCAGCAGTAAAAATGGCGGAATCGGTGCTGGAAGTTGTGGGGAAGCTGCAGTCGCGACTCTCGGGCAGTTCGGAACCCAAGAAGGTAACGGCGCCGACGGGAGGGGGCAGTGTGGGCGGGAGGCGGGCTGGGGGGCTGCGAGTGCCAGAGCCCCCTCCGGCGCGTGTCGGGGCGGCAGGGCACGGGCCCCCCGCGAATATCCCGAACTGAGGCGAACCCAGGGGAGTGAGGGGCCGTCCGAGGGCCACTGCCAGTCAGAGGATCCAGGGGCGGGAGGGTTGGGGGGCCCTTCCAAGGGCCACGGGGCAAAGGGGGGTCAGGGATCCAGAAGAGGGAGGGTTGCGGGGGG